CCCACACACCCACCCACACAACACACACACCATACACACACACCACACACACCACACCATACACACACCACAACACATACATTCACACACACATACACACACACACACCTCACACACACATACACAACACACACACACACACACCTCACACACCACACACACACATACACGACACACACACACACACACTCCTCACACACACACACCACACCACACCACACACACCACACACACATACACGACACACACACCACACACACACCATACACACATACCACACACACACACACACACACACACACCTCACACACATACACACACCACACACACACACACACACACACACACCTCACACACATACACACACCACACACACACATACACAACACACACACACACACACACACACACACACACACGCACACGCACACGCACACGCACACGCCATATCACCATGTGCCTCCCAAGGCTGTGTGTTGGGAACTCAGGGACACACACATGTCACACACTGTCACCAAGTCAGAGGTCCAAGGGAAACATTCCCTGTTTGGAAGCCTAGACAACATGTTGCAGGGTTGGTCTGTGTGAGGACAGAATGAAGAAGGCTGGCTGTCAGCCATGGGGCAGAAACTGCCAATGCTGGCAGAGTGCTCCCGGGAGGGAGGACTGACAAGAGATAAAGACCCTAGAGTCATTTTCCTGTCACAGGGAGCCTAGACTGGTAAGAACTCTACACGCAGATAAATCCTGTCCCTTTGTGCTATTGGCCTAGAGAGCCACCAAGTAAAGGCTGTGGGTGACTCAGGGCCAGCCATCCACACGACAGGAAAAACAGCTCGGAGGACATGCCCAGTGGGAGTGGGCCAGGAGTGTCACCTTCTACTGGAGGGAGAGGAAGGTATGTGACTAGAGATGAATCCACCTGGGCCGATGGGTGATGGAGAAAGAGAGGGCAGAAGAGGGACGACTCTGACTGGAACTCGAAGGGAGGAGCCCGTGGGCAGCCTCAGATGAGCCTTAGACCGATAGCCCCTCAGCCTTTCCTCTGTGTCCATTTCCTTCTCCCCAGCCTAAGCCCCTCGCTGACTAAGACCCCCTCTATGGAATTCTTATACTAGGATTTCTGCTATTCTGCCCCAAGGCTGGTAGTGGACGGCCAGTGAAGAGGCCACCTCACCTCAGCCTCCTCTTTGGCCAGGTCGTTCCCGGCCACATCTCCCTGTGGCCAGGGCTGCTGGAATGTATAGAGTTCTCCCATTCTTTTTGTTTGTATGTCTGTTGTTTTTCCACGCAGGGTTTGTCTGTGTAGCCTTGGCTGTCCTGGAACTCCCTCTAGAGACCAGGCTGGCCTCGAGGTTCTCCCATTCTTGTGACAACCTGGGCTTCCTGCCTGTCAAAGGCCCATCCTTTGAACTTGGGTTTCCTTTGGGGGGGGAGTTGCTCTGATTCACCCACAGTTCTCGCCCCATCAGTGTGTTACACTGGGCACTCACTCTCTGATATAGAGCCCAGCTCTCCCATGGCCACAGTGAGCACCCCCCAGAGGTTACCTGGGCTATGCAGACATCAGCCAACTCCCCTTGTGTCCACTCCTGAGCCCCTCTGGCTTCAGGGTTTTGCTGCCTGAGTTGATACGTTCAAAGGTTTTTTTGTTGTTGTTTTGTTTTTGTTTTTGTTTTGAGACAGCATTTCTCTGTGTAGCCCTGGCTGTCCTGGAACTCACTTTGTAGACCAGGCTGGCCTCGAACTCACAGAGATCCACCTGTTTCTGCCTCCTGAGTGCTGGGATTAAAGGTGTGCGCCACCAACGCCCATCGATAGGTTGAAAGGTTAATGGTGACCCGGAGAGATGTGGCAGGGTATAGCAGCCCCTTTCTCTGCAGGGGGCACAATCTAAGAGCCTAATGATGCCCAGGTAGCACCAGATCCTCTCTGAGTTGTAATGCATGCTGTATACACAGACTATGATGTGTATTATATACACAGACTAACTCATGAATTAGACCCAGTAAGAGATAAACAGTAAAGCAGGACAGTCCTAACAACATAATACATCAAAAGTTATTTATAAACAGTTGTGAGCTGTCATGTGGTTGCTGGGAATCTAACCCGGGTCCTCTGGAAGAGCAGCCAGTGTTCTTAACGGCGGAGCCATCTCCCCAGCGCCTTCCATGCATTAATTTTCAGGTGGTGGGTAATGGGTACAGTAGGGAGGGAAACTGTAGGCAAAGAGGGACAGGCAGAGTTTCTGTGAGAACAGACTGGAGCTTCTAGGTCCCAGATATGGGCAGTGGGGGATGGGAAAGGGTGGACAGAGAACACAGGAGGAGAGAGGCCAGGTGAGGAACGTGACCCGTGACCGTGTGGGTGGCTGGAAGCTGGCGGGAGGCCGAGAGAGACTGTGCCTCCTCCAGCCCGGCTGTCTTGGCCAAGGTCTGACAGCAGCAGGGAGGAATGTGTAGAAGAAACAAGACAGACAGAGGGTGCCTACTCTGGTGCTCCGGGGAAGTGATACTGGAAAGAGTTCTGTTTTCTCCCCACCCATCTGGGGATGCCCACATTCTCAGACCACAAAGGCTCCTTTCCCTTGTCTTGTCCCTGCTACTGTTTGCCCTGCCTTAGCTGGACTCCTTCCCCTGGTCCTAGCTGGGGCCTGAGAGTCTAGGGAGGGGTTGGGGAGGCACTCACTGCAGTTCCACTATTCTGTCTCGGTGTGAGGACTCAGGGTGAATGTTTGGCTTGCCTTTCCAAAGGGAATTCATAGGTGAGAGCGACTAGGAACTCCGGCCACTGAGCCACCTGCAGGGGACCACACCCTGGTCCCATTTAATTTACTCTTTTTTTGGTAATTTCCTGTTTGATCTTTACAAACCTTTGAAAGCAGGTAATATTTAAAATATTCCCAGGGGGCTAGAGCGATGTCTCAGCAGTTAAGAGCACTAACTTCTCTTCCAGAGGACCTGGGTTTGAGTCCCAGCACCAACCATGGAGGCTAATAACCATCTGTAACTCCAGTTCCAGGGGGATCCAATTGCTCTCTTCTGGCCTCTTCAAGAATTACACACATGGGTTGTACTTACACACATGTGGGCCAAACACACATACACATAAAATTAAACAAGAAAAAAGTACAGGAATAGGCTGGAGAGATGGCTCAGCAGTTAAGAGCACTGGTCGTTCTTCTGGAGGTTCTGAGTTCAAATCCCATCACCACGTGGTGGCTCACAACCATCTATAGTGGGATCTGATGTCCTCTTTGGTCATAATGTCATACATCAGGAAAAGCGCTCATATACATTAAATAAATAAATAAATCTTTAAAAAAATAGAAAAGTACAGAAACAGTCCCAGTAGAGAGAGAAGTAACCTGGGTGCCACATCACACTTGACCAACAGCCCAGCGTGTGTAAGTCCCTGAGTTCCACCTTCAGTGTCCTGAGCACCCGTCTCCCACTTTAGAGGTAAAGAAAGAAATCACAGTTCAGAGAGGGTTGGTAAATTGATTAAAGCCCCAGGGTCAGGCAGTTCCAAAGCCACAGTTGTTTTGTTGTCCTGGTCCACCGCCCCTCTCAGGGCTTGTGCTTTGGTCACTGAGGTCTGCAGGGCTCCCTGGACTTTTTCTCTTTCCAGCCCCAGCTCTAGGCACCAGCAGGAAGTGAAGAACTAGATGGTGGCCACCTGCAGCTGCACATGGTTGTTTGGACCTAATTGAACTTAAATAAAACAAACAAAAGCCCAAAACCTCAGTGGGTTACACCAGTCCCATTTGTAGCCTGTGTGGCCTGGGGAGAGCTGGGAGTCTCAGAGCCTACACAGGCAGTATTTGCTATCACAAGGGCCAGAACTCAGGGCAGGGTCGGGAGAAAGGGAGGGACCAACCCAAGGACTGGAGGGGCAGAGATGCCCTTGTGAAGAAGTTTGGGTGAGGGGAGGAGGGACCAAGTGAGGATAAACTCCGATACTGATACTCCCACAATATTAGTGAGCAACTGGCTGGGGTGGAGCCTGGGTTACAGCAGGAGGCAGTGCCTTAGTGCAGGAGAAACAACCTCCCTCTTGGTGGGTCCCAGGGTTCTAACCCTCCTTCCCTCAGGGACCCAGCAGCTGACTGGCCCTTCTTATCCCATTCAGGACAAAGCTCAGATGCTTTCTGTTTGTTCATCTAGGCCGAGGAGCAGGCTAATGGGCCACCTGGTCACCACCTTCCCAATTAGCCTCGTTGGCCTCTTGCTCATCCTCCTGAGTCTGGGTCACTACCATGGGACAGGGACTGTGAGTGGCCCCTGAGTCACTGAGGCCCAGCTATGACAGGGGTCCCAACCCAGGCCTCTCCCTAGTCCAAGCTCTGGTAATCTCTGCCCACCCCTCCTCCAGCTCTCCCAAGAGCCTCCAGAAAGGAGCCCCCAGGTTTTCAGTATGGTGGGTGTCATTTCTGAGAAGGGAAAAAGGTTTGCTTGTCCATGGGACACTTTAAAGGTGGCGGGCCGGTGCTCGGGCAGTGGGGGGGCCCAGAGTGAGGGCGGATCTTCAGATCTGAAGCAGGAGGAGAAGACTGAGTGACAGAATTCAAGGAAGCAAGCAGGTGGGGGTTATAATGTGAGCCCCAGCAGAGCTGCCCTGCATCGTGGGGTGAGTTGGGGATGAGCAGGAGCAGGGTGCTTCTTGGGGTCAGGAGGGAAAGTCGAGATGCCCTCTCTTCTTCCGGTGGAGGGACGCTGGGAGGATGGGGCTTGGGCAGGCAGGGAGGGAGGACCAGGGTGGCTGGGTCCCTGGGTGATAGTGGCCACCCTTGACGGGGTGGGCCCGGGGCAGAGCACCTGGTTCTAGGTTAGGCAATGAGGAGCCAGGGAAGGCCATCCAGGGTAGAGGCTAGTGCCCAGCGGCCTCAGGTCCCTGCAGCCACCCCTGTTGCTGAGTGGGCACATGTGACACCGATTGCTTCAGTCTCTCCTGCCACACCAACTTCCCTCAGGCAGCCTCCCTCTCCACCCCTCCTCCTCCCCACAGTGACTCCTGCCCAGGGAATGTCCAGCCCCAGCATAAAGGTCCCGGTGTCCATGGGTTTCTGTCAGTCAGGAGGCCACACCGTGCACAATGAACTCCTCTCGGGCACCCGGGATGGGGCGTGTGGGAGGGCACGGGCTGATGGCATTGCTGATGGCCACTCTCATTCTTCCAGGTAGGAGTCTGGGGCCTTGGGAGAGGGACAGTGTGGGACACAGGCCCTAGGTTGGAGAGGCTGGGGGCGTCCAGTGCCTGCAGCACAGGGCCCAGGAGAGGGGCACAGGCTCTAGAATCTGACCTTTCTATCCGGGACTGCTCCCCATCCTTGCCTGGCCACCTTCCTGTGGTCACTGCACAGGGAATTATTTTTGCTTTGCTCCACAGTGGCTGAGCAGGCAGGCACTCTGCCTCCCAGCCACCCTCCAAGTCCTATGTAATTGTTCTGAGCTTGTTAGAAATGAGGTTAATATCTTCTAGCCCCAGTCTCTGTACCAAATTAAATAACGCACGTGGCAACACAGCTTCAGGAGTTCCAGATGACTATATGAGTGGTGGTAGCCCCACTAGAAGATACGATCTGGCTATTTTATAGAAACAACAGTTGCTACCACGTTCAGAGCCGCTTTTTACAAGCATTGTAGATGTGTCAGTCAATTCGCATTTATTTATTTATTTATTTATTTATTTATGTGTTTATTTTTACAGAGGTGCTGGGAGCTAAGCCCCAGGCTACACGCATGCATGCTTGCTAACTGATCTACGGCACCCTTGGCCCTCTTTCCTTTTTTTTTTGACAAGGTCTTGCTTTGTAGCCCAGCCTAGCTTCAAACTCAGCCTCCTGACAGCTAGGATGGTGGGAAAGCAACTACAGGCATGCTCCACTTAGGGCCTTGTTAAATGCTAGACTGTAGCTAGCACTTTAAATACATGAGCATTTTTGAGGTCTGTGTGATAGATTTGCCATCCCCACTCTGCTTCTCAGGGTCCAGGAGGCCTGAGGGGACAGGAAACTGTCTGCAGATTGCAGTTAGAAGCAGGGCGTCCTGGCTTCCGAGCCCAGGCTGGGTGGCTTGTGTCCTGTGAGGAGGGGTGAAGGGACTGTGGCAGAGGGGGTTTGTTGCAGGGTACACCAAGCTTTTCTTTTTGAGATGAGGTTGGGGACACTGCAGGTGATCGCAGACTGGCCACTCCAGCATGAGTATCGATTATGACCTGTGATGTCTAGCTCGCTGCTTTTGGACATGTTTCCTAGAGAGATGCTATTATATGGCCTTCCCGGTGGCTCAGCGGGGAGGGCATGGTACGCTTTGCCCCTTTGAATATATAAACCAGAGAAGGTTAGTCACGTGCCGATGTACGCTCTGAAGGAGCTGGGGTGAGCAGAAGACATTGAGGCGAGAGCCGTGGGGACAGACTGAGGCAAGAGGAGCATGGGGTTAGGAGCTGAGAGTCCCTCGGTGGAGATAGAGGTGGGATCAGGACTAAAGATGGTCCAAGGGCAGCCGGAGTCAGATGTGGGGCAGACTGGGGCAGCAGGTGCACGGGAAGGCTGGGTGGGGAGAGAGGGAGGCCATGGAGAGGAGGGTTTCATGTCCCGTCCCTGGGCTGGGACAGCAGCGGCAGGGGTGGTTCAGGGTGCGGTGTCCTGTCACACTGGTACCGGCAGGTTCTGAAGCAACAGGTGAGTGCCCCCACATCCTGGCTCCCACCCAGGTTTGCCGGCATGGCCAGAGCAGGGGCAGGTAGCAGGGAGTCTTCTAACCCCCCCTTACCCAGTCTGGGCTCTCCCTAGGGAGCTGGCAGGCAATGGACGTTGGCTATGGAGTGCGCTCCTCTTCTGTAAGCCGGTACCTTTGCATTAGCTTTCTCTCTTCCTGGGCTCCTATGTTTCCTTCCTGTCTCAGCACACCCTCCCCCTGTTTTGATGGTTAATGGGGGCGTGTCAAACCTATGTCCCTGTGCATGTTAAGCCAACACTATGCCCCCAACCCTTGCTTTACCTTTCACGTTCTTCTGTTTGGTTCTATGGTCTACTCTACCCCAGAGCTTCAGCATCCCCCTCCCCCATGTTTCTGACCTATTCGTTTCCGCCCCCACCCCATCTGAAGGGTACTCCTTCAATGCCTACCACTTCAGAGTTTTAGCATCTGACCTCCTCACTCAACCTCCACTGCTAGAACAACGACACCTCCTGATTCTGTCACCTTCATTTTCTTCGCAGACAGTAACAATTCTTCCTTTTTCTACTTCTGTTCTACCCGGGTTCCTCTTTGGAGACTCCGGAATGGGGCTAAAGGGGTGGCGGGGAAGCCCCTGTTCCAATCTAGTCCTTACAGACCTCTGCTTTCTCTCTCAGGAACCTTGGCTAAGAGCATTGGGACCCTCTCAGACCCATGTAAGGACCCCACCAGGATCACCTCCCTCAACGACCCTTGTCTCATTGGAAAGACCGGCTCCAGCAGCATCAGCAGCCATGGGGGATCCAGCAGCTCCCAGGGAGGATCTTCAAAATCCCTGATATTTAAACCAGGAACAGGGTCTTCCCAGATCTCCTATTCCTCTGGGTCTGGCTCCTTCCACTCAGGAAGCAGCGGATTTCAGTCAGGAAGCAGCGGCTCTCAGTCAGGAAACAGTGGATTTCAGTCAGGAAGCAGCAACTCCCAGTCAGGAAGCAGCGGCTCTCAGACAGGAAGCAGCAGCTCCCAGTCGGGAAGCAGCAGTTCCAGATGGGTAAGCAGCAGTTCTCAGTCTGGAAGCTCAGGAAGCAGCCGGGAGGGACCAGGAAATGGCTCCGCTCTACCAACCGATGACAATTCTTCCCGCCAGACATCAGGCTCCTTCCAGTCTGGAGGCTCTTACTCTTCCCACAGCTCTGGGGTGTCTAACACCGTCTCCAATCACCCTCCCTGTAGCTCCAACGTGCCCGACTCTCCCTGCAGTGGGGGTCCCGTCATCACACACTCGGGGCCCTACATCTCTAACTCCCACACCGTATCGGGTGGGCAGAGGCCGGTAGTGGTGGTGGTGGAGCAACATGGCTCTGGTGGCCCTGGAGGGTTTCAAGGCATGCCCTGTAGCAACGGTGGCCCCTCGGGCAAGCCCTGTCCTCCCATCACCTCTGTCCAGAAACCCTACGGCGGGTACGAGGTGGTGGGTGGCTCTGCCAACAGTTACCTAGCCCCAGGCATGACCTACAGTGGGGGTAAAATCTACCCCGTGGGCTACTTCACCAAGGACAACCCTGTCAAGGGCTCTCCAGGGGCGCCCTCTTTTGCAGCCGGGCCCCCGGTCTCTGAGGGCAAGTACTTCTCCAGCAATCCCATTATCCCCAGCTACAGCTCCTCCAGTTCCAACGCCTACCCATCCTCAGGCGTCGTGTTCCAGCCCGTGGGTAACGGCGGAGTCCAGCCCTGTGGCGTCGGTTCTAGGGGGCCTTGCTCTGGCTCGAGAATTCAGATCACTTCCAGCAGTACCTCCTTCCAGCCCTGCGGCGGGGCTAACCAGGGGCCCTGCTCGCCACCAGGCCCCGGCTCCATCTCCATCGGTGGCGGAAGCTCCTCCCTCTCCACTGGCAAAATTGTCCTCCAGCCCTGCGGCAGCAAGTCTATCTCCGCCGGCTACCCCTGCCTTTCCGCTTCCTCCTCCGCGCTGAACGGAGGTCTGAACGGCTCTCCGCAGCGTGTCACCACCGTGATTGCTAAGCCCTGTGGCCTCAACAGCCCCGGGAGGATGCCCTGCCGTTCCATCCGGGACATTCTGGCTCAAGTGAAGCCTCTGGGCCCCCAGTTAGCAGACCCTCAAGTCTTTCTGCCGCCGGGACAGCCACTTGACAAGCCTTAAAGTCACCCACGCCTATGGAAGACGTTCGGGGGTTTCCTGCCCTCCGTCCGGGAGGCTCTTGTCACTTTTGTTCAGCATCTGCAATGGTGCTTCCGCCCCGTTCTGCTGTGGTGCCCTCTCTGCGTGATCACCCACCTTACAACTCACTTATTCAGGTTCTTGATGCCGGGACGTGTCAACCGTGCCTCTGCGCATTTGCCAAATAAGGCGGAATCCGGTCCACCACCACGCTCACCGACCTCGCTACCACCCATCACGACTCACCACAGCCTACCAGACCCGTTTCCAACACACCGGTGCCACCCCTGCTCTCCACCTCAGCCCATGTTTGGTTACCACAGGGGTTGCCCTGTGCGTGTGGACCCCAGGGCATCGGTAGAGCCTGGCACAGACTCCTGGCTCCCTCGGGATCCTGGACAGGGCTCAATAAACTTGGTGAACTTTGTGCAGACTTTTTGCCTTTTTTGGAGTCCCAGGTCTCCTCTTTAATACCTGGGTAGTACACCTCCTGTACCTCTAGAGGGCCCATGCCCCCCCCCCCCCCGCCCGTTTCTATTCCTAATTTGACCCAGTGTTTTCCATCTTACACCTCTTTCCACGAAGAAGGAAAACAATAAATATCCATTGAACTGATGGCAGAGTTGCCCGGTGTCCGGATTCTTCCGCTCTACAGTCTCGCTTCTCAGCTCCAAGAAATCCGTTCCCACTCACACCGGAGCCCCCCACTCCCGACCTCCCTTCCATCCAAAAAGCCTCATTGTTTTCTTTTCTCCCACCCTGGCTTCTCCTCCATTAGTGTGCCTCACCTTCTAAACACCGTCCTCCGTGGGAGTCCCTAAAGTCGATCTTGAGTTTCTGGGACGCTGGACCAGCCCAGGCAGATTCCTGGAGACTGAGCAGGAGCCTGGGCGTTCTGGGAGCTGGGGGCGGGGAGAGTAAGACAACTTCATAGCCTGGTGACTGACTCACTGGCCTACTTAACACGGTTCTGTGACTGTCAGAGCCAACAGGGTGCTGTCCACCTCCTCACCCCGAGTCTGCTGTGGTGAGAGAGCTGTGGCAGAGGCTAGCCCAGGAAGGACAGATGAGCGTGGGTGTCCCTCTTTCCATGCACAAGGCTCTCAAAGATTTTAAGAGGCAACCTGTTGCTGCCCTAGTGCCGGACCCACTCCCCTTCTTTCAGGAAGGAGAAAGCGGGTGTTGAGTCCACGCAGGCTGAACTTCAAGTGCAGAACCACAGGGTTCTCAATGAACCGGCGATGATAGACGCCCTGGGGAGGAGCTAAGCCAGCCTTCAGTATCTGCCGGGACAAAGCAGAATCGCAGGCAGTCCTGATTCTTCATTACAGAGGAGTCATGGAGAGATGGCTCAATGGTTAAGGGCACTGACTGCTCTTCCAGAGGACCAGGGTTCAAATCCCAGTACCCACATGGCAACTAACAACTGTATGTCATTCCAAGATTAAACTCTCTTACACCAATGCACATAAAAGTAAAACAAACAACTGAACTTAAAAAAAAGTTTGTCGGGTGTGCAAGCCTTTAATCCCAGCACTCGGGGAGGCAGAGGCAGGCAGATCTCTGTGAGTTCGAGACCAGCCTAGTCTAAAAGAGTGAGTGCCAGGACAGCTGCAGCACACACATGTCCATACACACACCATACATGAATATAATAAAAGTTTTAAAGATTAAAAAGGAAATTAAATGCTTTTTATCAACTGTGCCTGGTGGCATAGGCCTGCAACCCCAGCTATTTGGAAGCCTGAAGCAGGCCTGCCCGGGATACAGAGTGAGCTCAAGTGAACTTAAGTCAGAACTTATTTCTCAGAGTAGTTTAGTGTCAGAGTGCTCGCTGGGCAACTGTGAGGACTTGGGTTCAATTTCTAGTATTCTAGTATTTCAAAACAATAAAACCCTTTTTATTATAAAAGCTCCTAATATACGTATATATTATTTTTATTTTTGAGACAAGATTTGACGTAGCTCAGCCTGTCCTTGAACCCCCTATGAAATCGAGTGCCCTGGTTAGTTTTATGTCAGTTTGACACAAGTTAGAGTCATCAGAGAGGAGAGAGCCTAATTGAGAAAATGCCTCCATAACATCAGATCGGAGGCAAACCTGTAAGGCATTTTCTTAATTGGTGATTTACTGAGGAGGGCCCAGGGCATTGTGGGTAGTCCCATCCCTGGGCTGGTGGTCCTGCGTTCAATAAGAAGGCAGGCTGAGCAAACCATGTGGAGCAAGACAGTAAACACCACCCTCCATGGCCTCTGCATCAGCTCCTGCCTCCTGGTTCCTGCCCTATGTGTTCCTGTCGTGACTCTGTTCAATGACGAACAGTGCTGTGGAAGTGTAAGCCAAATAAACCCTGTCTTCCCCAAATTGCTTTGGTCACGAACAGTGTTTCATCACAGCAATAGAAACCCTAATTAGGACACCACAGATGACCTTGAACTCCTAATCTCCTGCCTCTACCTCCTATGTTGAGATTACAGGTGCGAACCCCCGTGTACAGTTTTATGTGGTGCAGGAATGGGCACCATGCATGGCAGCCAGGCACTCTAGTGACTGAGCCACACCCCCAGTCCCTCCAATATATTTAGTTCACTTTCTGTTGCTATAATAAAACACCTGAGACCTGGAAATGGGTAACGCTAGAAGTCAATTTAGTGCATAGGTCCCTGCTTCTTTTCTTTTTTTCTTTTAATTTTTATTTATTATGAATGCAGTGTTCTGCCTGCATGTATCTCTGATGTCCAGAAGAGGGCACCATATCTCATTACAGATGGTTGTGAGCTACCATGTCGTTGCTGGGAATTGAACTCAGGACCACTGGAGGAGTACCCAATGTTCTTAACCTCTAGCCATCTCTCCAGCCCCCATTTTATGTTTTTTTTTTTTTTTTTGTTTGTGTCTTTTTTTTTCCAGACAGGGTCTCTATGTAGCCCTGGCTGTCCTGAAACTTGCTGTATAGACCAGGATGGCCTCGAACTCACAGAGATCCACTTGCATCTGCCTCCTGAATGCTGGGGTTAAAGGTGTGCGCCACCAGTGCCAGGCAAGATTTTTTTTTAACTGTATGTATAGGTCTCTCTCTCTCTCTCTCTCTCTCTCTCTCTCTCTCTCTCTCTCTCTGTGTGTGTGTGTGTGTGTGTGTGTGTGTGTGTGTGTGTGTATGTGAGCACATTATAAGTCCAGGCACCTGAGGGGACTGGAAGAGGGGGTTGGATCTCCAAGAGCCGAAGTTACAGGTGGTTGTGGGCCTCTCCATGTGGGTGCTTGGAACCAAACTCTGGTCCTCTTCAAGAACAGGAAGATGTCCTAAGGCTAGGGCCATCACCCCAGCCCCCATCTCTCCCCTTTTAACCTTTTTCTTTTGAGCCAGGGTCACTAAGCTGCCCAAGGTGGTCTTGACCTCACTCTGTAGCCCACGTTGGACTTGAATTTGTGAACCTCCACAGAGTTGAAACTATAGCCCTCAGGCCATCAGAGACAACAAGGCTCACTCCTCCAAGAGCATCTCCCTCTTGTCTCCCACCAGACCCCACCTCTTAAAGGTCTCATGTCTCAATCTCCCCACACTGCAGACTGGTGAGGGGCACCCTCAAAACATTCAAACGAGCCGGGCCTTTAATCCCAGCACTTGGGAGGCATAGGCAGGCGGATCTCTGTGAGTTTGAGGCCAGCCTGGTCTCCAGAGCGAGTGCCAGGATAGGCTCCAAAGCTACACAGAGAAACCCTGTCTCGAAACAAACAAACAAACAAACAAACAAACAAACAAAAAAACACATGCAAACCATAGCATCTACATTTAAAACTAGTCGAATCACTCATGAGCTCCCATCACCCCAGTGCAATGAGGCCCATGCCATACCCTTCTGGAATATGGGGCAGCAGTAGTCAATTATCAGGGACCAGCTTGGCAGATAATGGTCATCGCCTAGTAGTCAGCTGACATTTGACTGCAGCATTTAGATGTCCTTCTCTGTGAGTGCTAGGGTACACCACTGACAATGAGTGTTTCTTATATCCCTCCCCCTTTTCTAGATTTATAATGGATTGTATGAGTGGTTTTCCTGTGTGTGTGCATATGCACCATGTGCATGCCTGATGACCATAGACACCAGAAGAGGGCATCAGATCTCATGGAACTGGAGTTAAGGAGGTTGTTAACTGACATAGGCGCGATGGAAACCAAAACCTAGTCATCTGCAAAAGCAACAATTACCCTTAACTGCTGAGCCATCTTCCCAGCCTGTTTTTTTTCTTTTTCTTTTTTTTAAAGATTTTATTTATTTATTAATTATGTATACAACATTCTGCTTCAATGCATATCTGCACATCAGAAGAGGGCACCAGATCTCATAACGAATGGTTGTGAGCCACCATGTGGTTGCTGGGAATTGAACTCAAGACCTCTGGAAGAGCAGTCAGTGCTCTTAACCTCTGAGCCATCTCTCCAGCCCCCCCCCCACCGCCCTGTTTCTTTTCTTTTCTTTTCTTTTTTTAGCTTTGTAGACTTTATTTTGTATGCAGTGTTCTGTCTGCATATATGCCTGCAGGCCACAAGAGGGCACAAGATCACACCAGAACTCATTACACAGATGGCTGTGAGCCACCATGTGGTTGCTGGGAATTGAGCACAGGACCTCTGGAAGAGCAGCCAGTGCTCTTAACCTCCAAGTCATCTTTCCAGCCCCCGTTTCTTATAGTCTTTGGATACGTCTGACCACCTGCACTAGGCAGAATGGTGCCTCCACCCCAACACCACCAAAGGTGTCACCATCCTAATCCTTGGAATTTATAAATATGTTAGGTTACTCGGCAAAGGGAAACAGGTTATTAGTCATTTGACCTTACCATAAAGGGATTATCCAGGATTATCTGGGTGGGTCCAGTGTAAACACAGTGTTTAAAACGTGGGCATGGGAGGCAGAGGAGGAAGCCAGATGATACAGTGTGGGAAGAGACTTGGAAGGTGGGGGAAACACAGGTGGCCCTGGAAACTGGAAAAAGCCAGAAGTGGAGTCTCTCTAGAGCAACTAACAGGAGTCAGTCCCTCAGGTCCCTTGATTTTAACTCAGAAAGACCTGTTTCAGACTTTTGTTCTAAAAAATGATATCAGGGCTGGAGAGATGGCTCAGTGGTTAAGAGCACTGGCTGCTCTTGAGAGGACCAGATTTGGGTTCCCAGCCCTGACCTCAGGCTCTAGGAGTCTGACACCCTCTCCTGGCCTCTCTGGGCATTACACTCACAGGCACAGCTCTCCACACAGGTGCACACATGCATGTACATAATTAAGAATAAAATAAGAAGCTGGGTGGTGGTGTCGCTTGCCTTTAATTCCAGTACTCAGGAGGCAGAGGCAGGTGGATCTTTATGAGTTCGAGGACAGCCTGGTCTACACAGAGAAAAACCTGTCTCAGGAAATAAAAGACAAAAAATAAAAACAAACAAACAAAAACCAAAAGGAATAAAATAAGGGCTAGAGAATTAGTTGCTCTTCCAGAGGATCTAGATTCAACTCTCAGAACCCACATGATGGTTCACTAATGTCTATAACTTTAGTCCCAGGGGATCAGAAGCCCCCTTCTGACCTTCAAAGATACCAGGCACATGTGTGGTACACACGAATGCATGCACTCATACCTATAAAATAACAAAATAAATGCAATCTAAAGAACGGTTTTAAAATCTTTTACAAGCTTGATTACAGGGGAGCTTTGACAGCACAGGTCTGTCATCCCAGCACTTGGGCAGAGGCCGCGGCAGGGGGACGGTAAGTTTGAGAACAGTCTCATAGTGAGACTCTCTGTCCAGCTACACCCATCCCAACTCCACCCCCAAAGAAATCAGACAAAATAGGAAACGAACAAGCAAATGAAACAAAACAACACAAAGAGAAAATAAACCCCCAATATAATATAATATGTGTTGGGAATCGTTAGCTGGTGGGCTGTTACAGGAGCAAGGGAGCATTAATATATCATGTTATAAGGCGGGAGGGGGGCAGGGGAGTGACCCGTTTCTTCAGACTAAGGGCTTCATCTAGCAGCACCTCAGATGGGGGAGCTTTTGCACCCCAGGACTTCAGCATTCAGGGAAAGATGTGGGGATCTATGAGCAAGGGATGCTCGAGTGAATGATCTAGATTATCAAAGGAGTCAGACCGCTGAGTGTTGCCAATGCTGAGAGACTTCGAAGGCACCGGCATCCTGAGGCTTGGTGCAGAGACAAACCAGGGCAGGGCTGGCAACTAGAGGTGACCTGTGGACCAGAACACCTGGGTGAGGAAGGGGCAGGGAGGACAAGGAAAGGAGCCAGGTGAGGAAACACCCAGCTCCTCTGGGACATTCAAGTGACACCTGTTGCCACAGACCGAATCAAGAATGAGGGTGGACTGGGCAGATCTATTGTCTCCACAACCACTGGCCCAGCCTGTTTCTGCTGTCCCCCACCCCACCAACGGGATAAAGCCTGCTGTCTTGGAGCCCGGGGAGATGCGGGAGCTGAGCAAGATGCAGGGCCTCGCGGGTGGGAGCCGGGCTCCCCTGGGCCTGCTCCTGGTCTGTCTGTCTCTGCCAGGTATGGACAGCACTGGGGTTATTGGGAACCGGGATTAAGGGAAAGGGGAAACGTAGGAGGGTGTGCTCCTGAGTCCCCAGGGAAGTGAGAAACCAGTACAGAAAGGGGTTTTCAGGGAAGCGGGCCAGGGAGTCAACGGAGTAGCTGGTACCAAATCTGACTCACTGATTCTTTATCTTCTTTTTTGTTTTTTCCCAATCAGGCCTCTTTGCACGGAGCATTGGGGCACCAGAGGAGAAAATCTCCCCACAGGCGGGAAAACCTTCCTTCGACAGCCTCAAGCTTGGGACGGCTGACTTGGGACAGCCTCAGCCCAAGCCAGACCCTGCTAATAATGAACTACCAAGGGCTCTTCCAAGGCTCGCCGAATCCCCACCAGATGGCGCCCTACCCGAGGAGGACTCAGAGGAGCTCAGCCAGCCTTCCTTCTGGGAGGGGTCGCCCACGGAGTCCTGGTTCTACGAGGACCCTCAGCCAGGGATGGAGGCTGCTGCCGAAGACCGCCTGGAGCAAGTGCTGCCAGAAACCCTGCCATACCTTTCCAGGGGCAGTCCTGGACCTGTGGCTTTCTCTGCAACCGAGGCTTCCGAGGACTCAGAGCCTGATTCCAGTGCACTGAGAACCGAGGCAGAAGACTTTGCCCAGCACCCATTCTGGTTTCTCTTCCGCAGGTTGCTGCCTGGTTTTCCCTGGGGGATCCTAAGTCCTTGGGGAGGTGGAGGGGCGGGAACTGCGTGGGGAAGACGGCCCATGCCATACCCTTCTGGAATATGGGGTAGCAATAGTCAGTTATCAGGTACCGGCTTGGTGGGCAATGCTCGGTATCCTCCAGGAAGCTGGGGGGGTATTGGTTGGAATCCTGCGGGAAGCTGGGGAGGAAATGGGTGGAATCCTGCAGGAAGCTGGGGAGGAAATGGGTGGAATCCTGCAGGAAGCTGGGGAGGAAATGGGTGGAATCCTGCAGGAAGCTGGGGAGGAAATGGGTGGAATCCTGCAGGAAGCTGGGGAAGTAATGGGTGGAATCGGCTTCCCCCAGGAGTCCGACCTCCTGGTCCCAATCGGCTTCCCCCGAGAGTCCGACCTCCTCGCCCCCGGCTTCCCCCAAGAGTCCGACCTCCTCGCCCCAATCGCCCCAATCGTCCCATTCGGCTTCCCCCAAGAGTCCGACCTCCTGGTTCTTCTGGGAACATCCCAAACCCCAGTTTCCAGTGAGTTCCCCAGAAGCCTCGTCAGGCTGGGTCACACGGTTTCCCCTTCTCGCCCCATTTTGATGCTTCCTCTGTTGACCTAAGCTGGTCGCAAATAAACACAAGCAGTTCTTGAACTCCATGTCTCTCCGTGTCTTTGTTTCTGGGAGTAATGGCGGTGTGCCTGGGCCGCCCTCATTCTCTAGCCATCCCTGTCTCTCTAGGGTCCCCTGTAGAGCCCATCTTGTTGTCCCCATTTTTGGGGGAGAGAGATCAAAACCCAGGTGTTTGAGGGTGGGCCCGCTCTGTGCTTTCACCTAGGTCCAGGGAGTTAGTTCCAGAATGGTCCTGGGAGGAGTTGAGAGTTCACCTGTGACAGGAGGGAGGGAAGGAAGTCCACCAAGCTGGCACCAGGCCAGGAGGGACAAAAAACCTTTCACAGAACACAGGGCCAGGGAAGGTCATACAGCCTACGCTTATCTTTTATTCCCAGACCGTCAAGCTTCTTGGAAGTGGAGGGGACATTGATCTCCCTCACACGCATCACTTAGCGCTTTGTGTGCAGAGAGACACAGACTTTGAACATCTGCTGAACAAATAGCAGCCCCGATAGATAAAGGAAGAGAGAAAACAGAAGCCAGGCCTCCGAGCCAACAACCACTGTGGCAGCATCCGTTGCTTTGTTCTCGTGGGCTCACACAGCCCCTTTCTTTGGTTGAGCTGTTGTCTCTCCCTCCACCCTTTGGTTTTCCCGGGAGCTCAGCATCCGGTCCAGGAGGAGAGTGAGGGCAGTAAGGGTGGATCTCACAAAGGTGAAGACACAAGTCAGTGGGGAAAGACTTGACTGCGTTTTCTCCACTGTGTACTTTGCCCTCGGTGGTCCAGGTGTGTGTACCCTCGATACAGCCTGGCATCACCCCAGATCCAGAAGGCTGGGCACCTTGTAGGAGAGAAGCAGGTAGAGCCTAAGGGATGGGAGCCATCTGCTCAAGTGGGACATGCTGTCCTGGTGTCTGTGGTGAGAATCCTTGTGAAAACACTTCCTCGTGATCCCATCTTTCCCCTAACCAGCCACACCTTTCCCTGTCGCATGAATTCATCTCTTCCCTCCATGGACTCTACTTTTCTCAGTCCTAGGGTAAGACTAGGGGACTGTTTTTAGCTTTTTCTTTTCAACGGGCTCAAGGTCATTTCAGGTTCGCAAGTTCATTTCTCATTCTAGTTGTCCACCTTGCTACAGGCACTCCTATATGCTCTTTTTGTTTGTTAGTTTGTTTGTGTTTCGAAACAGAGTTTCTCTGTGTAGTTGGAGCCTGTCCTGGAACAATCTCTTCTAGACCAGGCTGGTCTCAAACTCACAGAGATCTGCCTGCCTCTGCCTCCCGAGAGCTGGGACTAAAGGTGTGTGCCACCACCACCCAGCCCTATGCTTTTTTATGTGTCTGTGTCACAGACCCTTTGTAATTTTGTACCAGTGAGACAAGGACACTGTTGCACCTCTAGAACAGTGTCTGGACCAGGGCAGGCACTCAACAAACACCGAATGGTCAGCATGTCCTCTGTCTGTCTGTCTGTTGGCCCATCTATTCATATAGGTACCTCCCCACTCTCACCCACCCACAGGCAACCCTGAAATGGTGTGGTCTCACCACCGGTTACAGACTCGGCCTCCGCCCTTAGGAGGTAGCATAAGCTCTAAGAGGTAGGACTTAGCAGGGAGGACACCAGGTCATTGGGGAGAGGGGCCGTGAAATAAGACCACAGGACTCTGCCCCCCTTTTCTCTTTGCTCCCTGGTTTTCCATGATGTGATTGGTTTGGTTCAATGCATGCTCCCCCCTGTGTGCTGCCTTGGGGTAACAGGCCCCAAGACAACAGGGGCATCCTTCAAAACCGTGAGTTCAAGAAAAGCTTTTTCTCTGTAAGTCGGTTATCTCAGATGTGTAGCTGCCTACTAAGTCTCCACAGAGCCTGGTCCGAACTGCTGCCGTGTCCCTCCCGGAGCCTCATGAGACTGTTCTCGGCTCTTGCTACGCTCTGCACACCTCATCATCTCACCCTCCTTATTACCCGTGACAGAAGTGTTTTACGATTCTTTTTTACCCACAGAGTCAGAGAGATGAAGCAACTCACACACACAAGTCATGGATGACAGAGGCAGTGACTTCAACCTCGTCCATCCAGGGAGTGTTCCGATTCAAAGGCAATTAGCAGAAATACCAACTAACTTTTATTATGTGTGCCAGATCATGAACAAGGTGTTTATACACACACCCTTCCGGCTAATCTTCCCAGAAATTCCCCTCAGGAAGAAGCTGCTTGTACAGGGGAGATACTGAGGCCCAAACCGGGTGGGCTGAGGGATTGCACACTGGACAGGCAACACCCAAGAGAAGGGGGGTGAAGCTGGCCTTGGCAAGTATCTGATGGTGACTCTCAGAATCTGGTAGAGGGTTCTGAGTAGCTGTAGTCAATCGTGTCAGAGTGGTCTTTAATTTTTAAAACTAGTTTATTTAAATTTATTTTATGAGCATTGATGTGAAGGTGTCAGATCTCCTGGAACTGGAGTTACACACAGTGGTGAGCTGCCATGTGGATGCTGGGAATTGAACTCAGGTCCTCTGGAAGAGCAGCCAGTGCTCTTAACCGCTGAGCCATCTCTCCAGCCCCCAACTTTTTTATTTTATGTGTATGAGTGTTTTACTTTCATGAATATATGTGCACCACAAGTATGTGGTACCCAGTGAGGCCAGAAGAAGATGTGGGATGCCCCGGAGTGAAGTTATAGTCAGTTTATTTGACCTATACTTCCACAGCACCACCCGTCACTGTACTGGCTGGTTTTGTGTGTCAACTTGACACAAGCCAGAGTCATCAGAGAGGAAGGAGCCTCAGCTGAGGAAATGCCTCCATGAGATCCAGCTGTAACACATTTTCCCATTTAGTGATTAATGGGGGATGGCCCAGGCATGGTGGGTGGGGCCATCCCTGTGGGTTGAGCAAGCAATGGAGAACAAGCCAGTAAGCAGCCCCCTCCATGACCTCTGCACCAGCTCCTGCCTCTGGGTTCCAGCCCTGCTTGAGTTCCTGTCCTGACTTCCTTCAGTGATGAACAGCAATGATGAAGTGTAAGTCTAATAAGTGCTTTTCTCCCCAACTTGGTTATAGTTTCATCTCAGCAATAGAAAAACCCAAACTAAGACAATCACGGAGGGAAGTCAGGGCAGGGACTGAAGCAGAGACCATGGAGGAGTACTGCTCACCTGCTTGCTCTCCCTGGCTTGCTCAGTTTGATTTCTTAAACAACCCAGGACCGCCTGGTTAGGGCTGGCACCAGCCACAAGGGGCTGGGCCTTCCCACTTCAGTCATTAATCAATAAAATGCCCCATAGACTAGCCTACCTGCCAATATGTGACTACATCCCAACTCCCTGAGTTGGATTCTTTTTTTCTTTCTTTTCTTTTCTTTTTTTTTTGTTCTTTTGTTTTTTGTTTTTTGTTTTTCAAGACAGGGTTTCTCTGTATTGCTTTGGAGGCTGTCCTGGCACTCGCTCTGGAGACCAGGCTGGCTTTGGACTCACAGAGATCCTCCTGCCTCTGCCTCCTGAGTGCTGGGATTAAAGGTGTGCACCACCAATGCCGGGCGAGTTGGATTCTTTCAATGGGACCTGAAGCTCCTGTTATCCACCTACCATCCCCAATCCTGAACCACACAGGCCTTCAGGACCAAGACAACAGATTGCACCTGACAAACGTTCCGGTGAGAAAGACGTGACCACACATTCCTGGTGTTTTCACAAGCTTCTTGCAAGAAAAGGGAGCAGCAGAAACAGCCAAAGGGTCCCCTCCCCTCTGAGGAACAGGACACATGAGGTGCTGGTCTACAGACAGGTAATACCAAAAACAGACTGCTGGCCCTCCACCGACATGAGAGACATGAGGTTGAAAACAGCCTGGCTGGAGGAAAGACTACTAACTGTCTGGGCTAGTGAGTCTCGTCTCCTCTGTGCCAGTTGCCTTCTGGATCTCAGCGCTGAAAGTGTCTGGTGACTGGGCTCTGGGACTGGCTATCTGTAAGTGGGAAATCACAGACCTAACGCTGTTAGAGAATTGTGGTAGCCTTGTAACATACTCAGTTCACAGTACATAGAGGGTGGAGGGAGCTATTATCACCTTCAGTGTGGCGCCACACTCCGGAGAACGCTGAGAAGATGAAGGCTTCCCAGGCCTCCAATGTGCAGACTAAAGGGGTACAAGACAGATTTGGGCCCTGCCCAGGCCCTCTGAGGGCAGCCCTTGCCCAGCTCTAGGCTGCCTACTTTCTGTTCTTGTGAATGGGTTTCTCCGAAGCATTTCACGTAAGTAAAATCACACAAAACTTTATCGTCCGTTAGTATAGGCGACAGATCCCCTAGAACTGGAGTTACTGATGGTTGTGAGCCACCTGTGGGTCTTGGGAACCAAACCCCTGTCCTCTGCAAGGGCGGTAATGCTCTTAAGTGAGCTGTCTCTGCGGCCCCGTGAGACGCTCATCTCTTTAAGTGGAGACTATGATTTGAAACCGTAGACGAGGTGCTGGCTTCCAAATGAGAGTTGGAGCTCGCGCTGAAGGCGTTGTTTCCGAGGGACGCGTTTGAAGTAAGAGTTGGCGGTAAGATGTTTTTCTCCCTGGAAGTAAGGAGATAGGTCGGCGATAGAGCACTTGTCCGGCACGCATGGAGTGTTGAGTTTGGTCTTCAGCATTGGAAATAAAAAGAGCTAATTCATCTGTTGTTGACAACCTTTAAGGTATGTTTATTATGCATACAACGCTCTGCCTGCATGTATGCCTGTACGCCAGAAGGGGGCACCAGATCTCATTGTAGATGGTTGCGAGCCACCATGTGTTGCTGGGGATTGAACTCAAGTCCTCTGAAAGAGCAGCCAGTGCTCTTAACCTCTGAGCCAGCTCTCCAGCTTTGACAACCTTTAAATTAGACAAATGGTATCAAATTACCTAATTTGCTGACTTAAGGAGCCCAGACTGTCCATCCACTAGCTGTGTAACCCTCCTCTCTCTCTCTATCTCTCTCTCTCTCTTTCTCTCTCTCTCTCTCTCTCTCTGTGTGTGTGTGTGTGTGTGTGTGTGTGTGTGTGTG